CCAGAAATTTATACTGTATTATAATAAGTTTTTAAAACAATGAGATGCTGCCATAGATTAGTAACTACTAGCCCATCTTCCCAGGCAAGCCATGCTTAGAATACTTACTTGCTCCTTTTCAAACTGGATCATTTTCCTGAAAAAATCTACTGAAAATGGCCGGTTTTCCTGTAAACTAAAATAGAATGTAAAAATGTCATCTTCCACAGTGACAGGATGCCTTTTACTTCTTATAAATAAAAATAAATACCCAGGGCAGTGCCTCCAAAAGAGGGAGTTTGCTGTAATTCTATGCAAGATCTAGACCCAGTGACTACTCAACCTTTAGTGACTTCCCCTTCACCACCAAAGTCTTTCCTACTCACTTTTCTTTCTGCTTTCCTCTGTCTCACATTTGGAGTCTAAAGTTTCCCCAACTATATCTTAAGATCTTTTTGGAGGCCAATAGTTCCATTTCTAAGACTACATCCTAAGGAAATAATTTCCCTTATGGACAAATACTACTGCCAAGGAAATGTTCATCAAGCAGTATTACCATGGCCAAAGAAATTATACCAAATCCACAGAGTGGTTTTTAATAAATGTTAATGAAGAATGTATACTGAAAGAGGAAAAGGTGGAACACAAAACTATGATTATAGTTTAACCTCAACTACATAAGAAACAAATTCTAAAATATATTAACAGTGGCTTTTCTTTTGATGGGATTACAATGAATCACCTGTTGATTTTCTCTGCCAAAGAGGTTTAATTGCTTTTATTGTTCAAAAGCAGTAAAAGGAAGCATTACTTTTTTAAAAAGTCCCTTGGATTACTTTCTCAGAWACTATTTGTGATACATACAATTTGGCTATGATGGGCCATGGAGTAGAGAGAGTAGAAATGGCTATAAAAGTTTGTGAGTACCTTTTAAACACAGTTCTGGCCTTTTTGTTGCCACCAATTCGATATGCCCAATCCAAGTATTTATCCTTCAGAGTTACTGAGCTGGWACCTGTGATAGCTAAAATAGCTTTCTACAAGTAAAAGAAAAAAGAAACAAGTTGTATGAGGAAATTTATAGATAACAAAACAAATTTGCCTAGAACCACCCCAGGCTATTTAATGGGGCTTTAGGACATATGCTGATGAAAGAACCCTCCAACTAGTGAGCCCATTCCCCAAACCACAAGACTTAAAACATGGAACTATACCTTAAAGATTGCTTCTGTGTCTTCATGGCTTTGGGCACCTTCACTCCACTCTGCCCATGAAATCCATAAGGGCAAACAAACCTGCTCCCAATTAAAAAAAAAAAAAAAAAATGTTAGAAAATGATTGTTCAGCACTATGCTCTGAAAATTTATCACTATAAAGATGGGCTCCTCCTAAGACAATCAATATGCAAACTATGGATTCATTTCTAGTCTGTCCTAACAATGAGGGAATTCTCATTGCCCAGCAGGAATTGGCATGTCAGAACATAGACAGACTTCTAAGTCATCCAGAGCAATCCTCTCCTGCTAATTTTAGTTCCCTTCTGTTGGGGAATACTTCCTGTAGTTGTCATCATCAATCMTCATTCAGTTACTTAAACCATTAACAGCAGACAGCCAGCCCAACCCATAGCTATCCAGGCCATGGCTCTGCTTTCTAGGACCCACAACACAAGAACTAACTAATCAAGGCTGATTTTTCACTCACTTGCCAAAAGCAAACACAAATGAGCAGTAAAATAGTGTTTTTCCCATTTTACCTTCTGGAGTACATTTTCCTCACTGATATAAAAAGATTTACTGTATAGTTTTAAGTTTTGATCTTTAAAGATTAGAAATATATTTTCAATTAAAAGTCAGGTCAATGTTYAGCTTTAGATGCAAGTGAGAATAATATTGTATCAAATTTATCACTTGTTCCAAGATATCTAAACAGAATAGAAAATTTTATACAATATAGCCAATTTTCAAATAAGGGTTAGAAATAAGCTGTTGAAGCTGGGCATGGTGGCAGGCGCACACCTATAATCCCAAAAGTTCAGGAACTTGAGGCAGGAGGATGGCAAGTTCAAAGCCAGCCTCAGAAACTCAGCAAGGCCCTAAGCAACTTAGGACCCTGTCTCCAAATAAAATTCAAAA